TATTAATATTCAGGACAGCAAAATAAGTATGACAGTGTACTGAAAAACCATTGTACAATCTTTTATTCATCCTTGTGCACTTGCATGTACAAGTTGGCTGACTTTAGAGCTTTAATTAATTATAACCTTGAGGAAGAGATTTTTTCGTCATTTAATGTTAAAATTGTTCTTTATGCCTCTTACTTCAATGATGATCTCATAACATGGCAACAGAAACTGAATCTAGTCCAGTTCTTAACATCTTTTGTCCGATGGCATTTCCATGTATATGTAAAATAAATAAATAAATAAACATCCATAAACAAGAACTCCTATGACCTCCATCTCTATAATGATCACAAAGCTACCATTCGTTTCACTTAGTATCCTTCTCATACCTTGTGCAGGCCATATTTTGACAAAAATTTACAGAAAAACAGAGTACAAGGCACTATTTATTCCATCAGAATTTAGAAACCCTTACCTATTTAAAATGACCACTTAAAGATCCCTAGTTAAGAGCTTTTATCGATTCTACAAACATTGTTGACAGAAATATCAAACTAAATTACATCACACACACAGCAAAACATGGGTATCTTTCAAGCTTTGTCAAAAATTTCATCAATAAATTTCAATCTGGTTACACTTAAGTTGGACAAATTAAAATTCACAAAGTCAACATTTTGAGATTTACAAATTGCATTCTATAGTCAACATTCTGAGATTTACAAATTGCAGAAACTATCAAATTTGCATTTACTACAAGAGAAACCATCTATGTTCTCTTTATTAAGAAATTCAAACAGACTCTAGTAACAAGAAATATTTCCATGGGTATATTCTATCCCCATTATGGATAACATTTTCAACAAGAAATAGGTCTACATTGGAGCAATGGCTTGTCCTCTTAAGCTGCATTTCAAGGATCACTATTATTTTATCCTAAAAGGCCTGCCAATTACAACATTAGCATCATTTGCAGCTGAAAATGATGTACAAGAACTTCTCAATGAAGCCAGTCTCATACACCCAATTAAGGACTGAACTGATTTGAAACATCTCAAAATTTTTAAAGCTATTATTCGGAACATCACAATAAATTACAGAGATGTCAAGACTTTCTCTAAAGCATGGAGATCCTTTATCCACCTTTATCCTTTATCCATGGAGATCCTTTATCCACCTTTGAAATATACCTGTAAATTTAAAATTTTTGTAATATCTTTTCTATATCCTTGTTGACATCTGTGCTTTCTACCAATGAAATAATTATTCCATTTTGTTTAAACTGATATTCTAATTTTTGTGTATGTCTAACTGCTTGCTTTTCAGCCTGGTGATGACGATTCAAAATCATTGAAAAAGTGTTTTTTGTTTTGATTCAGTAAATTATCTTATTTGCTGGATATTACTGGTATTATATCTTTATTTGTAACATTTTTCTTTATTTATTTACTTTTAAAAACAATCATATAACAAAAGTAAAATTACTAGCATTAAGATAAATGAAGTATGTGTTTTAAAAACTTAGATTTATTTAAAAGTTCTGAATATTTATAAGTTATGTGAGATACAAAAACACACCTTATTGACTTCCAATTTTTGACCTAGTCGTAGGTCTTCCTCAGTTAGAACCTACAGAAATGTAACAAACTAATAGATTGAATACAAAATTAATATTTTAAAATTAAAAGAGAACAAAATAGAAATTACAAATTTGAAAGTTCTAAATTTAAATGAATACAATATAAAATTTAAATGTAAAAATAAAAACTTGGTTACCAATATTTAATTTTTAAAAATTTATATACAGTACTTTATACAGTGAAATATTGGTATAACGAATATATCTTGAATACTCTGCCAATTTCCTATTCAGTTCAATGCAAAAATGTTTCAGTTTAATAAATATCATTATAATGAAAATATCAGTTTAACGTAATAAAAATTCAGTCATTACAAAAGAATAGTTTCATTATAATGAAATCTATAAATGCATGTCATCATTATTATTAGTAAATGATGAATATTATGTCACACACTCTGGCAATGTTAATTTTAATGTCTAGTTCAACTGGAAACACTAATTTTAATCTTTAGTCATGGTTTTGAATAAACTCTACAGTTTATTTCTTTTTAAGTTTATGAGAAAAAATGGAAGAAAACAAAACTAAAACCATTTTCTTTGGAAGAGAATAATAATTGTATTAGATAATGTGTAAAAAGGAATTAAACAAAAAGTTGTGCTTGATGGTCTACTGGAATGATATGTCACAGTTATAGATTTTATCAAAAAAACTTAGATTAAAGAAATAACACACACAAAAATTAACTTTTTTTACCAGAAAATAATGGCTTCAAGTAGGAATAACAATTAAAGAGGCAGGATTTCAACTAATTTTTACTACTATATCATTATTTTAGTTGTTAGCTTGTGATATTTTTTGATAATTTTTATTACAGATTAATTTTTATTCTAATTTAATATAACTTATATTCTGAAAATGTGAAATTTGGTTCCATATAAATATTAATAGACAAATTGCATTTTTAAAAATTTCTTACTTCAAATGTAAGCAATTTTTTTATTATGAATAAATTTTTTTATCCTTGCATTTTTGACTGTATTTCAATACAACAAAATTTCAGTATAACGAAAATATTTTGATGGTCCTCTCAGTTTTGTTATACCAGCATTTCACTGTAATATGTGACATCCAGTCTCTATCCATCCATCACACTAAATTCTGTTTTTGATATAACTTCCTTCTTAATAATGCTTAGGACTCTACTAAGCACCATTTTAGCATCTGGAGCTGGCTGATCTCTTATGCTACACTTCACTTTTTGTCTTTGAGGGCATAACTTTTGTGCAAAGCAAGGGCATGCTTATTGGCAAACTCCCTTCCAGGCACCTTATGCAAACTGGTCATTTGACAACAAAAGGCTTCCATCCTTCTAGCCTTTGACTACCATATACAAAGCATTTTTAAAGTGGTTACATATAACAGAAGATTGTCTGTCCTTTATAAGGAGATTGCCAGAATTAATCATTTCTGCTTAACTTTCAGAAGCCCCTCAGTTTTCACTCTTTTCTGAAATGCTAAATGCCATCTAGATATGTACAGTACCTCCACCCTGAATAATAGATACCATCTCCATTATGGATCACAGAGCCATCCACAACTTAGAATACATGGATGCTATAGGATAACTTTTAAACATCCACCTCAAAGAACATTGGACTTCTGTCATTAAAGGGCTTATCACCACAGCATTAGCAACCTTTGCTAGCAACCCCAATATTGAGGTACATTTTGATTGAGCACACCTCCTACATTGCACCTCACAAAAAATGGCTTAAATATTTAGAACAGTTAGAAATTTACAAGTTACAAGAAAAAATGTGGCTATTCAGAGAAGAATAGTTCTTCCCCCTATGTGGAAGTCATTCTAAGATGTTTAATGTTATAATCCTCTCTGTTATATGTTCACCTTTTATTATGTGGATGTCAATCACCAATCTCGAGTAATTCTTCTGTTTGAACAGTTTGTTTTAACAACTGTATTTGAACTGAGAAGGTCTTTGAAGACTGTTTAACACAGTGAAAACATTTGCTTTTGTAGTTTCTTGCTGGATATTGGTTTTTGTGTAGTGCTTATGAACTGAGTATCATTACAAGAGGTATCTTGTTAACTGAACTGCTTTTTAAATGATGATCTACTATGTTGGCAATAGACCTCTTTTAGCAGAAAAAAATTCAAACTATGATTTCGAATCACTGCAAAAAATTTTCGGCTCTTCACCAATCTAAGAAAACATGAAAATTGTAATGTTTTCTAAATTTTTCTGTAATAATCTCTTTTTGAACTGAATGGAAAAAAAAAATTGTATTTGATGGTCTTTATTTGATAATGATATAAGTAATTATATTAAAAGCACTAACTAACATCTGTAATCTAGTTAAAATGAACGAGTTTATTATAAGAACAAACATTTTCAACTGTCTTTAACAGCCATCTTCAGGTTATGGAATGTTACGTACAACAAAATTTAAATAAAATAGAACTTGTTAAATTTGTGCTGGTAGTCGCATTTGTAAAAGAATGTTGAAGAAAAATAAAATGAAAATAAAATACAAAACAATGTAATGGTGATATTCTAATTTTTGTGTATGTCTAACTGCTTGCTTTTCAGCCTGGTGATGACGATTCAAAATCATTTAAAAAGTGTTTTTTGTTTTGATTCAGTAAATTATCTTATTTGCTGGATATTACTGGTGTTATATCTTTATTTGTAACATTTTTCTTTATTTATTTACTTTTAAAAACAATCATATAACAAAAGTAAAATTACTAGCATTAAGATAAATGAAGTATGTGTTTTAAAAACTTAGATTTATTTAAAAGTTCTGAATATTTATAAGTTATGTGAGATACAAAAACACACCTTATTGACTTCCAATTTTTGACCTAGTCGTAGGTCTTCCTCAGTTAGAACCTACAGAAATGTAACAAACTAATAGATTGAATACAAAATTAATATTTTAAAATTAAAAGAGAACAAAATAGAAATTACAAATTTGAAAGTTCTAAATTTAAATGAATACAATATAAAATTTAAATGTAAAAATAAAAACTTGGTTACCAATATTTAATTTTTAAAAATTTATATACAGTACTTTATACAGTGAAATATTGGTATAACGAATATATCTTGAATACTCTGCCAATTTCCTATTCAGTTCAATGCAAAAATGTTTCAGTTTAATAAATATCATTATAATGAAAATATCAGTTTAACGTAATAAAAATTCAGTCATTACAAAAGAATAGTTTCATTATAATGAAATCTATAAATGCATGTCATCATTATTATTAGTAAATGATGAATATTATGTCACACACTCTGGCAATGTTAATTTTAATGTCTAGTTCAACTGGAAACACTAATTTTAATCTTTAGTCATGGTTTTGAATAAACTCTACAGTTTATTTCTTTTTAAGTNATATTATAGCAAGTGCATGTACTAAAACAGAGGACTGTTCATCTATTGCGGGAAATGTACTGTGTAATCTTGAAATTCATCGATGTGTATGTAAAGAAGGAAATGTATATCTTCAGCGACATCGCAAATGTGTTCAAGGTAAGAAAATATTCTGCAATAGATTTATTGATAATCATTATTAATATTGCCTATTATGAAACCTTAACTTTAAGTTAATATTTGTAAGATAAGTATTTGAAGTTTGATATTTTAAATTTTTCAAATTACAATTACAAGAAAAATTGAGTTTTTTTTTTCTTAATGGTAATGGTTTAGTTTAATGACTAGTTAATAAAAAATTTCAGTTTCAACAGCACTGTTCATATGATGGCTTTATTACAAAATTCTATTTTAACAATTCACTAAATACATTTGTTTGATTATTAAGTATTACAGTAGAGCATCGATTATCCGAAACGTCAATTATCCGAAAGAATTTCAGTCGGCAAATTTAAATTTTTGCCAGTGCTGTGGCCCTGCAATCTTTGCCTATGTTTTGGACTACTCAAATATTTTATGTTTTTGATACTAAATTAACTTCTGAAGTATAATTTTTATTGTTTTTATATTGTTCAATATATTTATTTTGTTTGTACAAAATAAAAAAATAATTTTTAATGATACAATAGTCTTCATTAGGCTTAACATCGACGAAAATTCTATGCGAAGCGACATGCAACGGAGAATAATTTCAACATGGGATAGGTTAATATATTTTTTTGTACATAATTGGTTGTCCGAAATATTGATTTTCTGAACAACCCCAATCCCCAATTGATTCGGATAATTGACGCTCTACTGTATTCAAACTAAGTAGCCTGATAGTTCAATTAATGTTAACTCATTTAAAATTAAAATTTAAAACATTTTTAAAGGGCAGGCAAATTTATAAAACAAAAATTAAAATAAATTTGTTTGATTATCTTTTGTGCAAAAACAATGCTAAAAACAACTTCTATAATTATGTCACAAAAGAAGAGAGAGTTGCAATTGAGTAAAAAAATTTTTAATTAATTAAGGGTTCAAAAATGCAGGCAAAATTAAATAAATAAATAAAAATTATTAAAAACAATTTAAAAACCAATACTAAATTAATACTAAATAAATTAAACCTGAAAATTAATTAAAACTAAAAATAATAAAATAATAATTAAAATTCTAGCCTTTACACTGAAAATGGAACCAAAACCAAAATTAAAAATAAAATCAAAACTCATTAAAATAAAATCAAATGAAAATTAAAAATGCTTTTAAAAACTGTTTAAAAGTTGTTTTGAAATTTTCAAATTGTAAATCAATTTTTAAATTTATGTTATTTTTGTATGGCAGTGACAGAATATATTGCTTTAAATATAATATATACTGTATGTATATATATATATACACAATATTTATACATATATATATATATATATATATAAAGATTACACATGCATGTAATAACTAAAAAATGAAAATTTAAAAGTACATATATAAAATACCACAAAATCAAATTAAATAAAATCACGAGTATAGTATATATATTTATGCTTACATGACTATGGTTTTAGAGAATGCATCTGAAATGTGTCATGGGTGTGAAATTGCTGACCCCTGATATAAACAGATAAATATTTTAAAAAATAATATAAAAACTAAATCTGTATACTGTATCTGTATTCTGTATATAATAAAAAGTTATTATTCAAAAATGAAATTTAACTCTGCACAAAGACCTTCCCTCCCCTTTATTAATATATATACAGATTTTATTAAGGAAAATTTAGTAAATTTTATTATCTTCCATTCTAAAACTAAACAAAACAATAAATTGATAGCATCATTATTACTTTAACTATTTAAAAATTATTATAATTAAGTTATCTATATAAAATTTAAAAGAATTCTTGTCCAAAAATATAAATTCTAGAATAGCATTAATTTATTTTGAACTGCAGATATAATAATGTGCTTCTTTAAAGACATTTTATGATTTAATATCTATTCTATAGTATTGATTGTTTTATTGTTTGTTTTAGTAATTAATAATACATGTATTGTATATCATTACAATTTTAAAATATTTAATACAAATATACGTTATTACACATACATAGAATATTATTACAATGAAAGGGTTATCACACACATGAATCTCCTATAATGCATTTTGATGTTAATAGCCCTCATCAGCCAGGTGAACATCTTTTAGATATAAGGCAAAAAAAAAAAAAAGTATTATCCTAAATAATTTATTACAAAACACACATACAAACCGATAAAATTATAAAACTATTAACCATGAAAATGTTTAAAAAAGAATTGCAACATGCATCAGGCCAACCAAACAACTAGAAGTGGTCAGTGCAGTAGTCAGCAAATTTGACATGGTAATAATCAATAAGGATATAATAACTGAAAGGTAGATTATAATTAACTTCTTGTATAAGATATGCCTAAAAGTTTTTAATCTAATGGCTCTAATGTAATGTTATAGATTTGCACGTGGTGCAACTGAAATGGTGATACTGATGTGTATTGTGCATATTCATGCAAGCATTAAAGTTGAATACACTATTCCTAATGGGGAAAGGCAAAAAAGGATTTTATAAGATTAGTTGGTGATTTAATTAAATTTAGACTAAAATATATGATAATTAATAGGTCAGCATAAGGTACTGAATATGTGTATGATCATTTGGAAGAGGTAGTTAGGGCTCAGTGAAGTATGAGAAGTAATAAAACTATAAAACTCTTTGACAGCAACATCTGTGAAACAACACCCCTTCAGATATAAAAAACAAGACAACTAAGAAACTAGTCATTAGATAACCCATTGTGTTGCATAATATATTGTCAAGATGTTCACAGCACAATTGTAAAACTGTCGACAGCTAAGTGTATGGTTTTTTAAACATTTTGATGGTTAATAGTTTCATAATTTTATCGGTTTGTGTGTGAGTCTTGTAATAAATTCTTTAGGATAACATTTTTTTTTTTTGCCTTATATCTAAAAGATGTTCACCTGGCTGATGAGGGCCATTAACATCAAAATGCATTTTAGGAGATCCATGTGTGTGATAACCCTTTCTTTGTAATAATATTCTATGTATGTGTAATAAATTATATTTAATACAAATATGCTCTATTACATTGAATTTTATGAAAAGATTCGGAAAAGTGTCTTTGTGTCTGACGATAGGAGGTTTCTTTTGTGTCAACAAGAGGATTCCTCAGAAGGTAGGTTCATTGACGCGGTGTCTTTGATTATTATTTAAGATCTAAATTTCTGTCAATTCTGAAATACGCTTTTATAATGACGCAATAGAAATCAATTTATATTGTAAAAATGCTTTCACAAATCGAAACTACGCGCAATGCAAGGATGAAGACTACTGCTGTAACGCTAAAGGTTTACATACGANTAATTTGCTGAGAAAATTTAATGAAAAAGCAAATGTTTTCAGCCAAATCTGTTGGCCATCATCAGGCTGAGATATTTAACATTTTAAAATGTGAATCAACGTTCAAAAATCAAAGGTGAACAAAACAAATATAAGATAAAGTAAAACAAAGATGAATTACAGCTCAAAGATGAATTTTCATGCTTTGAAGATGTTATTTCTATCTTTAAAGTTAATGCATTTTCTCCATTTCTATGTGAGAAGTAAATTTCTAATTGTTCAAAGAGTTTTACATAGCCATTTTGTCTCATATGACATTTGTAGAGCTTAGATCTCAAAGTACCGTACCTCTACTCCCAGGTCTGTGGCATAAATAGATAATGCAGTGGTGTATGATTCCTTCCTAACATCCATTTTGTGCTCATGGAGCTGTTATGGCAGTGAGAGATGTTGTGTCTCTTTACTCCATTGGCATGTTGAATCTGTTGTCTAATACTTGCACTTTATAGATTCTTGGTATTGTGCAGTTATCTTTCTTATCCTTCTTGTTAGCAGAGGAGTTAATCTACTCTATAAAAGAAACTTTAGTCTGGTAGCCCATGTGGTTTCTTTTATAGAGTAAATTAGTGTTTCCCCTCCCTCTGGCTATTCCAGTTTATGGTAGACAGATGTCATTATACCTCTGTTGGTGAGTTTGATGTTCATATCAAGAAAATGCATCATTTGATCATTCATTTGTTCTGGCTTTAAAATAGGTTTAGCTTTAACAATGTTTCTGTAATAAAAATGTCCATGTCTGATGCTTCTTTCCAAATGATTAATTTGTTGTCTTGCTGTTTTTTCCATTCACTTTGAACATTGGCTGTATATCTTTAAATTTAGATTAAAAGAATTGTATTTAACTATTATTCAAAAATTGTAGCCAATCATTTGCTGTATTTGGAATGAAAACCTAAAGATGGCCTTGAAAAATATTACAAATTACTGAAGTTGCAAGTTTAGTGTGAATTAAGTTGTCATCTGCAGGTTTTTAAAGTTGTACAATCATTGTGCAAGTATAAAATATTTTCTAAAAGAATTTGTTATGCAATGTAGTGTAAATAAATTTTGAAATAAGATTTTTAAATATGTTCTTTAGTGGCCAGATTGGGAGAACTTTGTGAATTATCTGAACAATGCCAAAAAACTGATCCATTTAGCATCTGTCATTTTTTCGATTCGTTTCAACTTCACTTGATGATGTGTCAATGTAAAGCAGGATATGAAGAAGAAGGAGTTGAAAAAAAACGACATTGTGTCCCAGGTTTGCAAGCTAATAATTTTATATTAAAATTTATATATATAGGTTTCAATGCATTTGTGCATGTATACACACACACACACACACATTGAAACCTGTGAAAGCTATTACATGGGATTCTATAAACTTCCTAAGGTATGAGGCAGGTATTAGGTTCCATCTTTTATTAAATTTAATAATTATAATTTAAGTTAATATTATAATGGTTCTGGAATAAAAGAATTGGCCACTGCAAGTTCTGCAGTTCCTGCCTACAGTTGCATTGGACCTTTGTCTGATTCTCACTTTCAGAACTTATTAATTTGGATATTTCTATTTATTTATTTATTTAAGCATACTAATACAACCATGATGCAGGGAGAAATACAAAAAATCATACAACATATCCATTAATTAATTTGGATATAACCATACTCAGTAGCAATTGATGTTTATATTTGTACATATGTTAGGCTCAAAGAGTGAAAATGCTTATTGAGCGAAAAAAAGTTCACATGTTGTGGTCTTTTTAAATCCTCAACAATGTGATATTCGTGTTGTGGCACTTGTAAAAACAGCCACAACGTATTGTGACTAACTCAAAAAGACCACAAAGCAAAATTTTCGCTGTGGCTTTCATGATATCTGACCACTACACGTTGCTGTGATTAAAAAAAGCCATAAAATTCTACATTCTGCAAAAGCATTCTGAATTTCATGAGTGCATGAATGCAGAATGTCAGGAATATGTTCACATTATCTGTGGAGAAAGCAACAAGAATGAGGGATTTAGTGCAAATGTTGCTTGCAAGTTCTGTTTAAGAAAGAACAGCATCAATGCTGAGAGAGAATGTTCCAAATCCGGCCTAGAGAAACAGGCACATAAAATCATTTCACTATCCAACTCAAAATTTCCTGCAGTTAAAATTAATTTGAATGTTTTAGTTAGGGTCCCTGATGTTGATAGGGGACATGCAGCTCCCAGAAATGTTTTAGCTCTTGTTATGAGCATTAATCCATCAGGTCTCTATCAGTTAGGAAACAAGGAAAGTCTTCTTGATTAACTTTATACTCATAATGAATTTACAATTTCTGAGAGTAACTTTATTAACATTCAGGACATACCCCCAACTTCATTAACACTTTGCTCAGCATCCATGTTAACATCTGGAAGTAAGCAAGGGTTTATAATGTGTCACTGTAAAAGATACTGTATTGATAAAAATGCAAATGTCACTCAAAGAACATAAAATGCAACTCAAAATATCATAGTAATAATTCTTGTAAAAATAAATAATTCTGCAACGTTCTTGATTCTCATAAAAAAAGACTTATTTATTAATGAAAGTTCCTGACAAAATGTGAGAGATTGGATGAGATGGAAATTTTATTTAATTGCAACCAAATATATTGAATTTGTTAAGAATAATGCTTAAATTTCACATATTATATAAAGAAAATTTTCCCAACACAAAAATCTGAAAGGATGTGATGCATCTTTCCTCATATCTACTTCCCTCCTCAAGGTGACACATCTTCCAAATGTATGTGTCACCAGGAACTTTCATACAAATTTCACCTATTGGTCAAAAAAACTTAACATTGTTTAAAAAAGGGCATCAAAATTAAGGGGAAAGACCCCCAAAAATAAAAAGACGAACATCAAAATCAACAAGAGAGTCACCTATCCCTATCCTTGTGTAAGTGTATTCCAGTCGTCTCCACTGCCAATCCCTTCAACTGCCACTACCTCCGTTGGACCTAGAGGATTTGATCCCGGGATCTCGAAAATTGGGATCCCGGGATCCCAACCACTTTTCAGTCCCAAAATTTTCGGGATTAAGTTTTCCTAATCCCGAGATTTTCGGGATTGACATCATTTTAAAAAAGTTGCAAAATAGACTGCATGAAGCGAAACGTTAGTGCCAGCGCTTTTAACAGAATTGCTTGCCTATCATTTTAATATAAAATATGAGAAATTTTATTCCAAGCAAGCAGCAGAAATTAACCTAGCGGGCTTGCGATGCTTGCTTGGAATAAAACTTCTTGTATTTTGAACTAAAATGATAGGCAAGCAGTTCTCACTGGGTTACTTGGTAATATACTTCATTTTTGTATTTTTGAATTTTCGCGGGCGCCAATCGATTTTCTGGCGCAGTCGAGAGCACTACTCAGTGCGTTTTACCTGTCAATGTGTCAGCCATCTTGTTTTGCCAGTGTGGTTAATATAGACCCGACGCCTCTCGCTTAGGGGGGTCGACCTTAGGTGAAAAGGTTACGACCCCCGCCTTGCCCGTGATCTGTCAGGATGATGCGAGAAAGTCTTTTTACGTTTGGGAGTAGTGGTTTGCTGGATGCTGAGAGACTCACACAGAGACCGAATTTACAAAATTAACGTGTTTATTTTTAGAAAGGCATGCTTACAATGATCGAAACAATCGGGATTGTAGCCTTTACTCCTACAATCCCGATCTGTGTCGACCGGACTGTTTTCTTCCAACCTCCCCGTGTCCTCGAAGCTATAACTAGAACGGGCTTATAAGTATTTACTAACGATTCCTCCAACTTCCATCAAACCTAAACGCGTTTTCTCAGCAGCTGCATATATGTGCAACAAATTGAGAAGCAGACTTGGTGATGAGACACAGGATGCGTTGTTATTTCTCAGATCATATTTTCGCAATTCAAATTAGAATGTTCCTATTAGATTAGTTTTCTTTATATTTAAGAAAAATGTGACTGATTAATATTATTTTTAAATACTTTTTGCTAAGAAACTTATCTTACTACCTACTTACTAGGTTGCTATATGAAAGTAGTCTATTTAGTCGATGTTAAGAGAGATTTTTGTTAATTTTCAACGTTTATTTGCATAGTTTGTTACATAAAGGTTTTTTCAATTTATGTGAGTTTAAAGAGATCTCAGTGATGCTTAAAAAAGAATAAATTTAACATGAAGACTGAGTGATTTTAAGTCTGGTTAGTCTGATTCTGAGTCTGATTAGTTAGAGTGATTAAATTAGCTAGGTGTATCCTGTAAAATATGTTGATTTTTGTCTAAATTTTGATTTGTTGATTTCTGTAAGATTTTCTTATTTTTTATTAACCCTCAATACCGAAATAATTCCGGGATTCCGGGATTGACTAAGTATAATCCCGAAATCCCGGGATTAGAAATAAGGACCGGGATCGAATTCCCTAGTTGGACCATAGCTGTGTTTACCTACCGGACATTCGACTGTAAACTGTCCCATCCAGGAGCATTACCCAGTTCATCAGGAACCTCTTCATCCCTTCATCAAGACGATCCATGGCATCGATCAACCTACCAATCAAGGTATTTAACCTCACGTGTAATAATGTAAACTCTCTCTCAGTTATGAATCCATAAACTTCAATACTTAATTATGTTACACTGTATAGCTTTTATCCTATGTAAGTTATCCCATGTATATGTTGAAATTTAATATTATACAAAAATAAATGGATAATTTTTTAATTAAATTAAGTAGTAGGGTGCACTTCTTTCTGTTGCATTGTCTCTCAAGACGTCCAACTCCCTAATCTGACTGCTCGTACATGCAACCGCTCACATGTGAGCGAACAATCCTGACATAGGTATCATTGGTCTGTTGCCGACCCTTTGGTCACAAAGTAGTTATTTTTAGTAAATTAGTTGTTTGAAAATGTTGACATCTTGAGCATTGCAACAGATTTTCACAAATGATTAAATGTTGTTGAAAAGTAACAAAATTACATTTCTGAATAATTTTGTTACCTATTTATATAAGATGATTGAAGATAAATAAATCATAATGAAAAAGAAAGTTTTTTTTTTTTTTAAATGAAGACAAAGTCTGCCCAAAAGGGACCACCATTTAGTTTTTTTGTGTTCCAGACAGTACACTTTCTTGGTGACTGATTTTTCTTTTTAGGCTACTTGTCGCCAAAAGCTAAAAAGTCTTTTTAAAAATACAAAAATATATCCAATTAAAATTACAAGTAATTTCTAAGAAAAGAACTGGTGACATACAGACATCTTGCTTACTTCCATCCATACCTTCTTGAGAGTGTTATGGCTTTTATCTACTAGGAACGAGCGCTGGAAAATTAGATTTTAAGAAAGCTGCCCCCTGATGACAATACAGTAGAACTTTCATCTATAAATTTTTGTTCGATTTTTATGTTCTTATCATCACCTTGTTATTAGTTAACATCCAGAACTTGTGGCGACTGTCATTGTGTAGAGTACATCAAGCACCTACTAGTACATGTAGTTTGACCTTTAGTACTTTTAAACAAAACAAAAAAAAACCAAATGTGTGTTTTTCTCCATACATTTTATTTCTTTGAAATTTTTTTAAGTATGAAAATTAAATTTCTAGGAAAACTTGTAGAGCTAACATTGTTCAACATTAAAAATTGTAAATAAAAATGTTTTGAGGCTAGAACCCAATTTTAAAGTTACAAACCATTGCGTCGTATCACTCTGTTGTGGTTGCATCAGATTCAGAGTTTTATTAAAAACATATAACATATTTAGCCCAAAGCCACAAAGCACAATCTGGCCAGCAATACAAGTATAGGTAATATTGGATACATTTGATATAATTACAACAGGATGTAAAGTACTATATTATTTTTCTGACTTTTCCAACGATTATCAACACGACTGTGTGCCTGAAATAGCCATTTCCTAACAGGTACTTTATGTGGATTCACGTTAATGTGCCAAGCCTGGACTTTAAGCATGCACCGAATTAAGTAATGACAAAATTTGTAAAAAAAACAATCCAATATTTAATAAAATTTCTAGTAATAACTATATACAAAATTTAGTACAAATCAAATAACAATTTATTCAACATAAAGCAATAAGATTCAACCCAACAAAGCTCAAATCAATATATTTTCTAACTTAACTCTATTCCCTGTTGGAATTCGACAAAAATTCAAAGACTTAACTTATGTACAATAATTCTTATGAATTAAAGGTTTTAATTGTCACCTCAATACACTAGGAA